GCCCATGTGGCTGTGTTGGTGTCCTGCTTGCTTTGAATTTCTGGTTCCTTATGCTGTGCTGGGCTCCTGCCTGTGGTAATACTGTGTGGGTCTAGTCACCCTTGTGGAGAAAGGGTATGTGTTTTAGGGGCCTGGCAGTTTGGGAGTGGAGAACTGTAATCCACCCCTTTGTCCTATGTTCTCAGGAACACAGGAATCAGTCTCCCCAGTCTTTATGTTATACTAACTAGAAGTCAGCAGAGTGCAGGCTGTGTGCACTTTACCTGCTTTGCAAGTAAAGTTTTATTGGAACACAGCCAGGCCCCTGCAGCCACCATTGTGGAGTAGCTGGACAGAGACTGTGTGGTGTGAAAACGGAATGGTTTATCACCAGGACCTTTATAGAGAACGGTGCTGACCCTGTTTTAAATGTTCCTTGTAATAGAAGAGGACTTCCTTGGTGGAACTGATTTAACACGTAACAAGCTTCATGGCTTATCTATTTGGGATCATCCAGTTGCCGGTGTTGAGAAAAACCCCAGGCCTTTCATTGAGGTGTAGCAGATGAGCTCAGTCATGAGTGCGTAGCTTGGTGGGCTTGTGAGCATGCGCACACCTCTGGAGCCTCCTCCCAGAGGGAGCTAGAGGACTTGTTTGTTTCCTTAGGAGGCGTCCTGGTGACATCCCTCCCCACGGGCACTGTGCTGTCTGTGAGGTTTGTCCTGGAACTTGTTAGGTATGGGACCAGCAGTGTGTGCTCTTTGGGCTCTCTGTTTGCTCACCAGGGCTGGGATGGTGGCCTCGGCTTGTCTGTGCGGTTGGTTGCATGTGGCAGTTGTCTTGCTGATAGACTGCTAACTGTATTGTTGGATAGCCCAGTGCATTTGCAGCAGTTTCCGTGTGTGTGGCACTGCGCCTGGGCATTCGGGTGGTTTCCGGCTCCATAGTCTTTAGCGGCAGTTCCAAAGTCCAGAGGGCGACAAGGGTGAAGGTTTCTCACAGCCATACGGCACAAAGGGCGATGCTCACTCAAGTGAAGTCGTTTATATGCTAGGCTCCAGTCCCATTTTGCAGAACTCCTCTCCGACAGAATTCCGTAGGTGCGCCCTGGTGCAGTGACTTTCTGGCCCCAATCAGGAAGATTCTGGATTCCAAAGCGCGAGGGCCCCAGGCCTGTCTCTCCCTCCACCTTTCCCCTTGGGGTGTAACCATGCATAGAAATCTTTCTCCTCTGAGAGTAAACACTCCCCCCAGGGCCAGCCTGGGGGACTAATCAGATGTAAATACTCCCCAGAGAGCCTTTCCACAGCTGGGTGGTGGTGGCCTGTACCTGCAATCCCAGTTCTCAGGAGGTTGAGGCCCTACTGGGTGTTTTGAGGCCAGTGTGGTCTGCACAGCAAATCACCATCTGTCTGTCTGTCTGTCTGCCCCTCCCCACCCCATTATAGAACTTCAGTGAGGTGCTGGCAATCTTCGCCGTTTAGATAGTGAGTGCTCAGCTCCTGTGGCTGCCCCCGTTGTCACGTTTCTACACCTGAGTTTAGGGGACTCCAGGAAGTCTCTGTAGTCACCCTCTGTGGAAACCCAAGGTATGCTTTTCTCCCTGCACCGTGACTAAGCCGTTTTTAGAATCTTATAGGAACCATGACCATGACATTGCTCAGGAAACAGGCCTGGAGTCAGGTCTTTCCTCAGGTTGGTTATTTGCTTCAGTGGTTTAAGTTTATTTAATTTTACTTCATGTATATGAGTGCTTTGCCTGTATCTACGTGTGTGGACCGCTTATGGGCCAAGCACTGGCAGAGGTCAGAAGAGGCCTGAGACCCCCTGGAACTGGGGTACATACGGTTGTGAGTCACCTGGTGAGTGCCGGGAACGGAACAGGGGTCCTCTGCAAGAGCAACAAGTGCTTTTCACCACCGGACGTCTCTCCAGCCCCTGGGTTATTATTATGGCTGTTTCTTTCTTAAGTACTTAATTCTGCTGAAAAGGGAATTTGTTTGCACATTACAAAATAGGAAAGATAGCAAAGGATGCAACTGAGCCGAATTGCTTCTGCTCCATCTACCATTCCTGGTGGTGTGTCTGGCTTGGCTTGGGTGCTTATGCTTTCTGAGCAAGCCTAGAACTAGGAGGCTCATGCAACGGCTCATTCCTTTAGGAGCAGGCCATCTCTGCAGGCTTCCCGCACTGTAGTTTGGTTTGGCTCTGTTGCTTCAGATTTTGCCTTTCAGGTCATGGGGCATGTTTTGTGGCCTGAGTGATGCCCAGCTTGGCTGCACTGGTGACTGCATCCTATTCTGTCTTGGATGTTGTTGTTAAGTGAATGGCAGAGAGCCTGTGCTCGGCAGTCAGCTTTCTGGAGTGACCAGTTCAGTGGCATCTGGTGTGGTAGACAGATGAGCGTTTTCTTTGAGCCCGTTGAATATCCCCCACTCATCTCCTGGCCCCCACCATCTCCTCTGTCTGTCTGTCTGCATTAGTGTCTTCTGGACGTCATACCCACGGGACCACACACCGTGTGACCTTTGGGCCTGGCCTCTTCCTGGAGCACAGTGCATTGCGGTTCTTGGTAGCGTGTGTCCCCACTTCTGTCCTCTTTAGGTGTGCTCCACACTCTGTGGTGTGGAGAGAGTGGGCTGTGAGCCTCGAATGTGGGCAGCTGCCCCGGGGGGGGCCCAAATGGGAGCCTTGAATGTGGGCAGCTGCCCCGGGGGGGCCCAAATGCCGCCCCCTCAGCCTTTGGTTCCTCTCCCGGTGGCGTTGAGCGCCGGTGACTGGTGTCCCTGCTCTTGTAGGCCATGACATTGATGGAGTACCTCATCAAGACTGGCTCTGAGCGCGTGTCACAGCAGTGCAAAGAGAACATGTACGCTGTGCAGACACTGAAGGACTTCCAGTACGTGGACCGAGATGGCAAGGACCAGGGCGTGAACGTGCGGGAGAAGGCCAAACAGCTGGTGGCTTTGCTTCGCGATGAGGACCGGCTTCGGGAGGAGCGCGCCCACGCGCTCAAGACCAAGGAGAAGCTGGCACAGACTGCCACGGGTGAGGTTTCTCTCCCCCTCCTGGAAGTCCCCGGCAGCGAGGCTCTGTCCTCTGTTCCTGTGGGCCCGCGCCAGCTAGCCGATGCACCCTTCCCGCCCCTTGTGTGGTGGCCTCAGAGTCTTAGAAACTTCGTTCAGCTTGCCTGCAATTCTGCCGAATGCATCCTTTGGACCCAGGTGTGTCCAGGCCCTGAGGGCAGCCAGCAGAGGCCCTGACCCCTGCCTTGGTCCTTGGAGTAGTCCAGGCATGTGCACCCACATCTTGTCAGGTTACTTGGCGCTCGGGGCTCCCCAGGTACAGGGTTGGGCCAGCCAGTGCTGGGG